GGTAGCTGGTGAGGCTAGTCTACAGACTGATGTCATAGAGCCGCAGCACGTAGTGCCAGGGCAGGGATAAAGCAATGCAGGATATCCCGGGACTGTGTGTGCAGATTGTGTGTGTGGTATGACTTACATCTTGTGTGAATCCTGCGCGGGCTCCTTAGTTTTGCGGTCTAACGAACTTCTGTATCGTCGGGCCCTTGAAGAAGACGCGATAGTTGCCACACCGCTGCCACCATTAGCTGACGTGCTGACCCTAGTTTGCCGCCAGGACAGCGTGGTCAGCAGTGATGCGACGGACGCAAATATGCTCAGTAATTCTGAGCTAATCTTGATACAAATACGTCAGCCTTTAGTGTTTCTTATGAGCTAGTAATCGCGTCGTAGTCTGTACTCACAGGCCGGCATGTCAGCGCGGCGGACGGGCGCGGAGCGCGCTTCAAAAGCAGGCAACGTTATGATAAATAGTTAACGTGCTTAACGTTTGGTACCCGATGTTTAAATTGGCATCCAAGAGGGCTTGCTCGTCACAGTGTAAGTCATGCCTAAGCCACAATGTCCCCTTATATAATATTCAATATTGCGGTCTGCAAGTAAGCTGCAATCGGTAATCCGCCTGTAATCTTTCACATATGGGAAGAAAATCAAGGCGCGTGGTCGGTATGGGGACATACAGCCCGAATTCCGAGGCTTCTGTTCTTTAAAAGGCTGCAGAATGTCACTAAAAGGGTTAGTCTGAGGCTATCTACGCGTATCCGATGCGCCAAAAAGAAGTTTGTTTTGAACAACTTAGAGTCTTCCACAATTACTTTGTTAGCTTTTTTGAATTTCGTTTTTGTAGGTTTTTCTCAACGCGATTCGTTTCTCTTACGCTTCAAGCAGCCATTTTTTCCACTACAACATGCCGTCAGAATCCCTGAGCTTTTCAACCGTCTCTGGCCACCACCCCTTACATGAACAATAACGTGCCACGTATCGACGGACAAACTCTGAGCGTGTCGGCAAGCGGCGGCGCGCCACGCGGCTGCCTGCCCTGAGCGTCTGAACAGCGGACGCCGTCAGTCGCCGGCACCCGTGGGTCACCCGACCGCCAGCGGTCGACGCTGACTGGCCGGCCAAAGCGTCGGCCGATTGGACGCCTGATGTGACCGAGCAGTCGGCCGATCCGAACCTGCGGTGGGCGGGCGGTCGGCCGATCCGAACCTGCGGTGGGCGGGCGGTCGACCGATCCGAACCTGCGGTGGGCGGGCGCGGCCCGCACGGCGGCGGTGGCGCACTGAGCAGCGGCTGCAGGTGGCGCCGGCCGCCGTTGGTGACAACCGCACAAGAAAATGGATTGGTGCATTTTTGCGGGAATATTTGGATGTTCGTGGTCTTGATCGCGTGTGAGGGATGTTTTCGGTTTGTCAGGTTTCTGCCCTCATTTATTATTGTCGCTAGTGAATGCCGGATAGACTACCCCGTGCCCATAGCAGCGCAGTTGAATCTCACCGTACACGGGGTCACGCGACAGAACACGGCGTGATGGGTCCAAGCCTGGGAGATAGGGGCCGATTGGATGACCCGAGTGCCTGGGAAGTCACGTCGCCGTACAAATCGCACAACGGAGCCGGACGGTTGGCACAATGTGCCGCCTTGCATTTCGCCACTTGGCACACTGGCGTACGGGGGACGCCATTTCTGTGGCGTGCTTCGCGCATTATTGCAAGCGTATCGTCACAGCAGTACATTGCGTTGGCACGTGCTAGTCGAAGTGACGCGCTGTGACGGCCATGGTTTGGGCGGCACTCCATCAGCGCTGCAGGATATCGCAAGTGAACGTTAAACATCATCTGGCCTACGGTTCGTGCCTTGCGCATTTCGGTACCTGTGTGGCTCGTCCACGCTTTGACGTGCCACGCGATCATACCAACAGGGCGTTACGTGTGCACTTGTGCACGGTATTCCGGTGTGGTAGGCATTTCGCCTAGCAGTGGGTCACTTTGCTCGCCACAAAGAACCCAACAGAGGTAAAGGTCGCGTGCCGGGGTGAGGGCCACGTGCCGATGTGAGTATGGCGTGGGTCCAGCCGCCGCAGTGCCGCGGCCGTCGTCGGTGCGTCATGCCGTGGCACGCGTCGATTGCCGTGCGTCCCAGCTGTAATGACCCGCCCACGCGGTTCCGTGTGCCCGCGGACACGGGGTGGAGGACAGTGGGTCGGGCACGCGCCTTCTGAACGGACTAGGTTGTCCTGCGTACGTGTCTGCCACAGCTTCATATTTGAAAGGAGCCAGGCCTGCTGCGACAACTTTCTCTAGGTTAAACGGAATGGTCCACATGTGGAGATGCTGAGGCAAGCATGAGATAGGATGAAAAAAACACTTGTAGCTACTGACAATCTTTTTAGTGCGAAAAAAACACTGTCAGCCCATCCACGGCAGCTGTTGTCACCAGCAGTAAACATTCCACTCTCGGACGGAAGGAAAGCAGATGTTCATTCCATTGTTTTCCGTTCCAGAACTCTAGAACAACTTGCATCACATCAGGGATATATGACTGTATACACAGATGGCTCCAAGGCAGCATGCGGCGTTGACGATGCCTTCGTGTGTGGCGCAATGACCCGATCGTGTCGCCGCCGGCACGTGCCTGGGTTTTTACGTCGGAACTGATGGCTGTTTTGAAGGCGATTTGTTTCGTCCAGGTAGATAACAGGGCTTTGCACCTCATTTTAATGGACTCTATGAGTAGAACTCCGGCGCCGAGGGCGTTTTATCCGCTCAGTCCCTTCGCACAGGGCATTTGATCACATTTCTCTGCGCTCAACCGAATTGGCAAGACGACATCTCAGACGGCATGTCAGAGAATGAGCTAGTCGACTCCGCGGCGAGATGGACTGCTCGGGCTGTACGCACGCATCAACCGCCTGTCCCGGCCGAAGGCTGTTACCCCGTCATTGCCGCCTTTTTACAGGGCGAACGGCAGCAGCTGTGGGACGCGATGACAAGTAGCTAGCTCAGGGCGGTGAAGCCACAGTTCGCGGTGTGACAGTCGTGACCGCTGAGAGCGAGACGAGAGGAGGTTACCCTGCGCAGATTGCGTTCGTGACGTTCATATGTGACACATGGGTTTCTGCTTTGCGACTAAGACCGACCCGTATCGCCACACTGCAACTCGCCACTTACTGTGCGCGACACGTTGCTTTTGCATCCCCATTTGCCGAAGGGCGGATACGCTGTTTTGAACGACCTGCGGAAACCCTGAACCTGTGTGGAAGCCTCAGCGACGATTCCAATGTCTTTCGCACGGGCCAGTGTTTTTCTTCCCACTGGCTGTAGGATTTTCCGCTGTATCCACGTCCCGGTAAAAAGTTGACTTCGTTATGGGCGCATAATGGCCTCGGCCGTCAAAACACCTCTAGCCCAATATCATTATCGTTCACTGTCTTAGTCATTACTTTGTAAATATGCTCCTCAATACGTCGTCGTTTGTTACGCTATGGAACGCTTGTATGACGTCATAGTCTCTGCCAGAGTGGCCGTGTCGAAGTTGTCACTAGCGGACGGGCTGATTCGCTTATAGTACTTCAACTCGCTGAGAGATGGTTCGTTAACTCATGCGCGTGTACTCCACCGGATATCGTCACGTCCTCGTATTTTGGTCCTTTTTCATGGTGTTCTTGTTTGTTTGTCCTAGATTGTATCTTGTTATGTGCATCTGTATTCTCGGCTATGATGCTTTTTCTAAGTTATGCGATTCCCAGCCTCAGTTGCGTCATAACCAGTAGCACTGCCCAAGTTCCTGTTTTATGTATCACAAAACTTGGCATGTTCTCGAAACTTGCACTTGACGCGTTTAGCTGGTTGAAAGACAACTGCTGACGCTCATGATAGGATTCGTGCTGACGCACTCCAGACACGAATCACTTTAAGCCAATTTCTTCATTAACCTTAGGCACGATATTGTCATTGATGAGGTGGAATTCGTGTGACGCTTCCATGACGACACACACCTCGGGGTGACTTGGATTAGGCGGTGCGATATAGTCTGCACAAGTTTGCGTGTGCCTAGCTCAGAAACAAGAGGATTTGAAGTCTTGAAAAGGTCAGAACTGTGAAATACTGGGAATGAGATGGAAATGACTGTCTCAGTAGCAAACCCCAAACGAAAGTGAAGCAGTTCCCTTAACTGCCTTAGTGAGAAGTAAGAAAAAAGAAAGAAAGAAGAAAACACATGAAGGAAAAGAATATGCTGCAGCTTTGTGCAGGACTAGTAAAATGTTTTTTTATAATATGCAATCCCTGTAGTTATGGACACAGTTGATCAGAATACATTGCACATGTCTACATAGTTTGTTATCATAGCAAGTTATCGGTGGGCCCAGTCCACTTGATGACATTTTCTGTATACAATCTTACAGGTGGTTGTTAGCCGCACATAACTCATTTTCCTTGCATTTCTGCCGCAAATATCACTTTATGCAGTACTAGACCTTTGAAACTTTTCGCTTCTTGAACTGTGTTAGAGCGGTGAACCTGAATATGGAGTAATTTTTGTTGCCCGTTTCATATGTGCGTAAGAGATTTGCACAGCTGAGACAATCAGTACATTTTGCCACGGCCTTTGTGCCTTCGCTTGGTGGTTTCTTGATAATTATTGCATTCTTAAGCTGCGCTATCCAGTTGTACGGGTGTCAAGTGTTCTTCGATTTCTTTAAGTGATGACGCTGCTGTTTCGACACGAATATCGTTATTGCATGCATATAGGGGCTCTGGACCACGGCCATCCCTCCACTATGGCTGTATAACGCATCGTAACGTATCTCATCCCCACCCCCTCCCCCCCCCCCCCCCAGTCCACCTCTCGCTCAGAAAAACGCTCTTCTCACGGCCACGGCCGGAGATATGACACCGGCTGACACACAGCCGTCACTGCACGGGGAAGTGCACTGCACTGTTAACGGAATAAGAAGCACCTCAAGCCGGCCCGGGGCTTGCCCGTGTGATAACGGGCTCCCTGTGTTGCAGCCAGCGAGATGCCGGCCACGTCCCCGTCCACCGACTCGGGCGTGGTGGACGCGTTCGCCGCGCTCAGCCCCGAAGAGCAGGAGCGGCAGCGCGAGGAGTGGAAACAGGACCTGGCCAGGGTAGGTGGTGACGGGAGGGGAACGGGGTCTGGCCAGGAAAGGTGGTGGCGAAAGGGAGAGGACCTGGGCAGGGTGGGTGGTGACGGGAGCGGAACGGGGCCTGGCCAGGGAAGGTGACGAGAGGGGAACTGGGTCTGGCCAGGGCAGGCGGTGACGAGATGGGAGCAGGAGCTGGCCAGGGTGGGTGATGACAGGGAGCAGGAGCTGACCAGAGCAGGTGATGACGACAAGGAGCAGGGGCTGGCCAGAGTGGGTGGTGACAACAGGGAGCAGGAGCTGGCCAGGGTGGCTGATGACAACAGGGAGCAGAAGCTGGCCAGGGTGGCTGATGACGACAGGGAGCAGGAGCTGGCCAGGGTGGCTGATGACGACAGGGAGCAGAAGCTGGCCAGGGTGGCTGATGACAACAGGGAGTAGGAGCTGGCCAGGGTGGCTGATGACGACAGGGAGCAGAAGCTGGCCAGGGTGGGTGATGACAGGGAGCAGAAGCTGGCCAGGGTGGGCGATGACGAGATTGGGGCAAGAGGTGTCCAGGGTAAGCTATTACATGAGGAGGGGTGCAGGAGAACTATGTTGTGGAAACATCAGTGATCTGCTGAATGCTCCAGGGTGTAAAGGCCCCCTCAACGAAATGTTTATCTGTGTTGCGATTCCCACTATACAGTCATTATTTATGGGTTCCAGCGGGTGTGCCCAAGAGTCTCTTGTACCCTGCACTGATATGTGATTTTGCTGATGAATTCTAAGCACAATGATACGGTGGCCTTGATGCACTATGCTGTTCCATTTGCCGCCAGTAATGATAGATGTATTTACGGAGGTGTTCATTGCGCCCATGTTCGTGCAAGTGCAGATCTGTCATGTAGGCGAAACGTTGCGGCCGTCTGGCACGGACCACAGGATGTCCAGCTGCCTGTGCTGCGCCTGGCCGCGGCGCCTCAGGTGGCTCCCGCCCTGACCGAGATGTGCCTGTCACCAGATCGAGGAAGACATTGTGCTGATGCGTGAGACGCTCTCGGCCAAGATCAAGGAGGCGCAAGGAGCTGAAGCACAAGCTGGGCATCACCATGTGGACCGAGTTCACAGAGGATGTCAACCAGGGCATCAAGAACGTCAAGGAGTCCCAGGCGTAAGTGCGGTGTCGCGCGAGCGCCGGGAGGTGGCCTCGCCGCTGGTGGAGGGCGGTCCTGACGCGTTCGCAGCGGCGTCACCTGGTCGCCGCTCGTGCGGGGGACGCCGTCTTCAGCGGCGTGGCCTGCGTCGCTGCTTTACCTCGCTGTTCGGGGCGACGCAGGTGCCTGTCCGTGCCCAGTCGACGGGCCGGAAGCGGTGAGTCCCACCGCCCCCCCCCCCCCCCTCCCCCTCCCCCTCCCCCTCCCCCCGAGCCCATCTCCCCGCCCGGCTCCGCTGTCGGCCAAGAGGCGGGCGGCCGCGCCTTCCGCCGGCCGGCTGCGGGCACCGGCGGCACAACGCCGGCCTGCATGGAGGTGTCACATCGCCGGCCGGCAGCCCTGCTGGCGCCGCCGGGCCGGGGGTCCGGTGTGCCGGGGTCAGATGGCGACAGACTGCACTGCAACGTCTTCACCCGCGCACGCACTCCAACCCTCAGCCTGGGCGGACCACCGCGGCCTTCCGCGTTGTGCTGGCTGCGCTTTTGGCTGCGCTCTCAAGCGGGCGTGGCTGGTGTGCAATGTTTGCTGTGTTCTGTTGCAACGCCGCTCTGCTGTTGACTCTTCTCCAGTGCGATGCGCAATGCATGTTTGACGGTTGCGGTCGGCCAGCATCGGCGGCACGTTGGTGGGGTTCGGTTGCGACCCGCTTCTCCACACCGGCACCTCCCGCGGCGACCCCGGCTCGCGCCACGTACCGGCACCGGCCCGACAGCGGGTGGCGGCCGACTGAGCGACCTCTCGTGTCCGGCAGGTACCACAAGGTCACTGACACCTTCACCGAGCTGCAGCAGGCCGTGACGGCGGCGCCGCTGTGAGTAGCCGGCGGCACAGATGTCGCCACTAACGCCGGCCGCTCCGCAGGCAGCCGCGCTGCGCCGCATCGCATGCTGCTGGCTGCTGCTGCTGCTGTACTTCTTGCTCCCTCCCCCCCCCCCCCCCCCCCCCCCCCCCCCCCCCCCCACTAACCCGGTTCGCAGGTGTCCGGTAGCGCCCGGCCGGCGGCAGGGTCCTGCCCCACCGCCGAATGTGACCCAGGGGTGCTGTGATCATCGCGGCAGCAGTGGTGCGTGAAGAGCGCGGCCGGCCAGTTCTTTAGTGCTGGGTGCTCATTGGGCGCTACGGTCAGGTGGTTCGCAACGGACAAATGTGGCACGCGTTGTGGAGCACTATGGGACGTTTGTCGTTATGGGCGACTACGAGTGCGGCCAAATTGTATCCCCCCGCTAAATCTGTTAAGCATGAACAGGCCTGCTTCCATTCGATCTGCTTGTATAGCGATGACGTGTCGGTGGACAATGCCAGCAACATTGAACTGGCTATTGTGGAGCCCTCAGAACCGAAATGACCTGTGACCATACTGGGGGCCGACCTGTCTGCACCCCTGTGTGCGACCCCCCCCCCCCCCCCACCATCTGGATTCAAACGCTCCCGGTCAGCGCGGTCGCCGCGTCCGCCGGGTGGCCCCGCAGGCCTCGCTCTGCCGGCGTCACCCAGAGCAGGCGTCACCGGCTGGCTGGCTCGGGACGCACTGCTGCGCCGGCCGCGGCCCGTCCGGTTCCAGCGGTCCGATGCTGTCCGTATTGAGCGGATTGATCGCCTCGTCGTCTGATCACCGGCGGAGCGGCCGCGCCGCGTGCCTGAGGTCACCGCTATGCGCGCCGTGCGCCGCCGAGCGCGCGCGGTGGCCGCTGCACCCGCCGGGCAGGCCGGTCGGGGTGGTGGCCGAGCCTGGCGAGTCGCCGGCGGGACCCGGACGGGCCGCCGGCCGGCCGTCGGCCCATGCTGGACCCGCGGCTGCCTCCGTTCAAGCACTAACTCGGCCGCGTCGGCTTACTAACCGCTTTCAGGTCGACGTACTGACCGCATCTGTGCTGACTAACCGCTTTCGTGTTGGCGTACTAACCGTGTCCGCGCCGTGCCGCCAACTCTGTGCGTTTGAGTGGCCAGCCCCAGCCGCAGTGGCTGCCGCCGCGTCCGCTGACGCCGCCCGGCTTTACTAACCTGCCGCCGCTCGTTCTGGCCCGTACAGCCTGTGGGGATGGGGCGGCACGTGAGTTATCGGCCACCCGCGCTGGCCGCCCCGCATGCGCCGTGCCCGCCAGTGGCCTCGTTAGTAGCGCCGCATCCCGCACCTGCACTCGGCAGTCGACAGGGAGGCCGCACGGTCTCGCCGGCGCGCGACCGGCGGCGCCTGTCAGCGCCTCTCGTGTCGGCTGGCGCCGGCCGTGTGATGCACATCCAGGCATGCAGGTGCACGCTCGGGCCAAGCGGCGGCCGTGTGTGCCTCAGAAAGGTCACCGATGTACAGTGCGCTCTGTTTCGTTTTGAAGTCTGCCCAAGATCGTGTCTGAGTAGATAGTCGCGAAGTGCACCTTCGTGTAAATAGTTGCCTGACGGTGGCCATTCGGGGAGAAGTAGCGCGCCGACTTTGAGGAGAAATTGTGCCGTTCATGATGTTATGGGTGATGCGAAAAAACGCGGTAGTGCCCCAAAAGTTCCACCGTCCCAAAAATTTTGTGGTAACGGCGTTGGGGTAGAATTTGTTACCAAAAGAAATCTGGCTGGCGTATCGTAGCGAGAGCGTGACGAAATGTGGACCCGTTGTGATGTTTGGGGAAGGGATCGAATTTAGGTTCTGGAGGAAGATCCGCATTAAGGGGACGATCATATGGCCTCCGTCATGGTCCGAGTAACGTTTGCGTATGTCATCGCTGTGTCGAGCAGCCTTGCTTGCGGCAAGGCGAGCCGCGCTGGTCCTTTCCAGCCATCAACAACGGCTGTCGTTTTAATATGGGAAAGTAAGGCGTCAAAGTGCTTCTCTTCTCCGGAGAATGCATGCATGCAAAAGTACAATAATTGAAACAGTATTATCAGGGATCCATTAGAACCAGAAGACACCTTGTTCGACATGATCTCAACGAGGCTAAAGTAGACGCGATAATCGCCAGCTGTTTTCGTAATGATGCCGAAAGTCACGCTGATGTAGCTAGACACTTTGGACACCATATGCCAATATGGTTATTCAATGCCATAGAACACCAACCTTTCAATGGAGCTTGACAGACGGAGGGTCATCGGTGTGGCATTCGCACGGCAATTAACAACTAACTTTGAGTGCAAAATCACCGGGTGTGAGACTGGCCGACTTGGCAACTTTCACAGGCGAAGCGGTGAATTTATGACGTACGGTTTTAGCAGCTGTGACCAAAACTATTGGGAAAACGTGAATATTTGGCGTGGTTGTTGGTCGCAATGAACAGAACTTCGCGCCTGTACCGTTTGCATCGTCCAGTGCTCCCAAGCTCTGAGTTTGGGCCTCGGCGTCTTGTGTTCGGGGTCGTTTTCCGAAAGTGTGCTATCGCTGCTTACCGATCACACAGACCCACCAGCACACAGTGGGTTGGGCAGTTTTGAGACCCGTTAGTAAAGTGTAGTCTACGTTGTGCATTTAGTTTTAGTCTTCATGTGCTCTGGGTCCTGAACTCCGGCATCAGTCCCGAAAACGCCCAACGCGAGTCAGGCGGTGGTTGTCAGCGAAGGCCACTTCTAGGGAATCGTTCAATCTGATGTGATAATAGAGTGTTCGACGAAGCCATACATCTCTTAGGCACGTTCTTACTCACCGATGCACTTCAGTTAAGAATATATATATATATATATATATATATATATATATATATATATGTGCGTGTGCGTATGTGTGTGTGTGTGTGTGTGTGTGTGCGTGTGCGTATATACACATTGGGCACCATATGACCAACGTAGTCGGTGCGCCCCAAAGCCCAAATCATCATCGCGTATATACACATATGTTTTAGATATATACCTATATATCTTAAAAACATATGTGTATATACGCGATGATGATTTGGGCTTTGGGGCGCACCGACTACGTTGGTCATATGGTGCCCAATGTGTATATACGCACACGCACACACACACACACACACACACATACGCACACGCACATATATATATATATATATATATATATATATATATATATATTCTTAACTGAAGTGCATCGGTGAGTAAGAACGTGCCTAAGAGATGTATGGCTTCGTCGAACACTCTATATCACATCAGATTGAACGATTCCCTAGAAGTGGCCTTCGCTGACAACCACCGCCTGACTCGCGTTGGGCGTTTTCGGGACTGATGCCGGAGTTCAGGACCCAGAGCACATGAAGACTAAAACTAAATGCACAACGTAGACTACACTTTACTAACGGGTCTCAAAACTGCCCAACCCACTGTGTGCTGGTGGGTCTGTGTGATCGGTAAGCAGCGATAGCACACTTTCGGAAAACGACCCCGAACACAAGACGCCGAGGCCCAAACTCAGAGCTTGGGAGCACTGGACGATGCAAACGGTACAGGCGCGAAGTTCTGTTCATTGCGACCAACAACCACGCCAAATATTCACGTTTTCCCAATAGTTTTGGTCACAGCTGCTAAAACCGTACGTCATAAATTCACCGCTTCGCCTGTGAAAGTTGCCAAGTCGGCCAGTCTCACACCCGGTGATTTTGCACTCAAAGTTAGTTGTTAATTGCCGTGCGAATGCCACACCGATGACCCTCCGTCTGTCAAGCTCCATTGAAAGGTTGGTGTTCTATGGCATTGAATAACCATATTGGCATATGGTGTCCAAAGTGTCTAGCTACATCAGCGTGACTTTCGGCATCATTACGAAAACAGCTGGCGATTATCGCGTCTACTTTAGCCTCGTTGAGATCATGTCGAACAAGGTGTCTTCTGGTTCTAATGGATCCCTGATAATACTGTTTCAATTATTGTACTTTGCATGCATGCATTCTCCGGAGAAGAGAAGCACTTTGACGCCTTACTTTCCCATATTAAAACGACAGCCGTTGTTGATGGCTGGAAAGGACCAGCGCGGCTCGCCTTGCCGCAAGCAAGGCTGCTCGACACAGCGATGACATACGCAACGTTACTCGGACCATGACGGAGGCCATATGATCGTCCCCTTAATGCGGATCTTCCTCCAGAACCTTAAATTCGATCCCTTCCCCAAACATCACAAACGGGTCCACATTCGTCACGCTCTCGCTACGATACGCCAGCCAGATTTCTTTTGGTAACAAATTCTACCCCCAAACGCCGTTACCACAAAATTTTTGGGACGGTGGAACTTTTGGGGCACTACCGCGTTTTTTTCGCATCACCCATAACATCATGAACGGCACAATTTCTCCTCAAAGTCGGCGCGCTACTTCTCCCCGAAATGGCCACCGTCAGGCAACTATTTACCGAAGGTGCACTTCGCGACTATCTACTCAGACACGATCTTGGGCCAGACTTCAAAACGAAACAGAGCGGCACTGTACATCGGTGACCTTTCTGAGGCACACACGGCCGCCGCTTGGCCCGAGCGTGCACCCTGCATGCCTGGATGGCATCACACTGCCGGCGCCAGCCGACACGAGAGGCGCTGAACAGGCGCCGCCGGTCGCGCGCCGGCGAGACCGTGCGGCCTCCCTGTCGACTGCCGAGTGCAGGTGCGGGATGCGGCGCTACTAACGAGGCCACTGGCGGGCACGGCGCATGCGGGGCGGCCAGCGCGGGTGGCCGATAACTCACGTGCCGCCCCATCCCCACAGGCTGTACGGGCCAGAACGAGCGGCGGCAGGTTAGTAAAGCCGGGCGGCGTCAGCGGACGCATCGGCAGCCACTGCGGCTGGGGCTGGCCACTCAAACGCACAGAGTTGGCGGCACGGCGCGGACACGGTTAGTACGCCAACACGAAAGCGGTTAGTCAACACAGATGCGGTCAGTACGTCGACCTGAAAGCGGTTAGTAGGCCGACGCGGCCGAGTTAGTGCTTGAACGGAGGCAGCCGCGGGTCCAGCATGGGCCGACGGCCGGCCGGCGGCCCGTCCGGGTCCCGCCGGCGACTCGCCAGGCTCGGCCACCACCCCGACCGGCCTGCCCGGCGGGTGCAGCGGCCACCGCGCGCTCGGCGGCGCACGGCGCGCATAGCGGTGACCTCAGGCACGCGGCGCGGCCGCTCCGCCGGTGATCAGACGACGAGGCGATCAATCCGCTCAATACGGACAGCATCGGACCGCTGGAACCGGACGGGCCGCGGCCGGCGCAGCAGTGCGTCCCGAGCCAGCCAGCCGGTGACGCCTGCTCTGGGCGCCGGAGAGCGAGGCTGCGGGCCACCGGCGGACGCGGCGACCGCGCAGGCCGGGAGCGTTTGAATCCAGACGGTGGGGGGGGGGGGGGGGGGTCGCACACAGGGGTGCAGACAGTCGGCCCCAGTATGGTCACAGGTCATTTCGGTTCTGAGGGCTCCACAATAGCCAGCTGAATGCTGTTGGCATTGCCCACCGAACACGTCATCGCTATACAAGCAGATCGAATGGAAGCAGGCTTGTTTATGCGTACCAGATTTAGCAGGGGGATACAATTTGGCCGCACTCGCAGTCGCTCATAACGACAAACGTTCCCATAGTGCTCCACAACGCGTGCCACATTTGTCCGTTGTGAACCACCTGACCGTAGCGCCCAATGAGCACTCAGCACTAAAGAACCGGCCCTGACTGAACTGGTCCAGCACTAAAGAACTGGCCCGGTGCGAGCCGCGCTCTTCACACACCACTGCTGCCGCGATGATCTCAGCACCCCCGGGTCACATTCGGCAGCGGGCAGGACCTGTCGCCGGCCGCGCTACGCGGCGGACACCTGCGAACCGGGTTAGTGGGGGGGGAGGGTGGGGGGGGAGGATGGGGGAGGAGCAGTGGCAGCAGCAGTAGCCAGCAGCATGCGATGCGGCGCGGCGCGGCTGCCTGCGGAA